GAGTCTATTCTTAGATTAAAAGATCTAATAATATAAATTACTGAAACTTTTGATATTACAGTGTCAATAAGTATAATTTATCGATGTTTCTGTTAATTCCACTCTATTTTTAAACATATTTCGTATTCTACATGGCCTTGTTGCTTGGTTGGAATAAAATATTTATGTTTAAACATGTTTTATTTTGACAAAATAGTTATATAATAATTCTAAAACCTGCTTCTTAAATTAACTTTATGAATATTAGTAGGTATGATACTTATAACATTAAACTCTGAACCTAGAAATGGTCAAAATATTATTTAAACAAAAAATGATTATGAATGCACTTTTGAACTAGTGATAAAGATAAAAACTTTGTCTTTTTTGAAAAAGTGAAGTTTTCAGTGGTGACCCACAAGTAGAGGTAGCTCATTCATAGGTATACCTCACTGTCCCTGTTGTCAAAGCAGAAATATTTCTGTGGTTACAACAATGAACAAATATGGAATGATCTTTCATAAAGTTCTTGAATGTATATTTAAAAGAGAAGATTTTAAAACTTCTTTATGAGAATTAAAGGTATTATATACTGATAAATAATTGAACACCCTATTTTTATTATTAATAATATCAAATTTTATCATTACAAAAGACACGCGGAAGACTAAAAACTTCTCAGTACATTCTTAGGTATATACATCTTATACTTACCTTTTTTTAAATCCTATAGAAATTATTTTTTTTGTTTGAAAAAATTTAGTTGTTTATGATAAAGCTTTAAAAAAAACTCAATTGAGATGTTTAACCAAAAAATAGTTTTATGAAATCACCTCTAATCACTGCAATTCATTTTATAGAAAAATTTTAGGTTTTTTATAAGGTCGGCCGCAAGAAAATTATTCTTGAATAAATTAAAACATTGTTTTTTAATTTGTTTTATTAATTGTAAAATCTGGATAAGATTTGATTATAAAATTATTGCAATAGTTATTCAAATGATTGCAATAATTGTTGTAATAGTTGCAAAACTATAGTTTACTAGCCATTTTACGCAAATGATTGTAAAATTAAAAAAAATCAGTTTAAATATTTAATCGATTGCAATAGTTTATTATATTAATTACAAAATAACATAATTTTTTATTTATTTGATTATAGATTTTATTATTGTAGTAACTCTGTTTCTACAAAAGATTCGTTTTAAAAAAAATTTAATCATAAATTTGTTCTAAATTTTAACCCCAATATTCAATGAATAAATTAGTAAACAACAACACTATTAACAACACAACAGATACAAGTAAGATTAAGTCTTACTTCACACAATATGTCATCACGGGTCGTATCCCTAGGGTAAAACACGGCAATTATAATGATTAAAAAATTATATATATAACTTTGTTATTTTTTAAGTCTCTTAAAACATTTTAATAGTATAAATACTATAAAAAATAACAAATTAAAAACTAAATCTTTCTATTAATAAGTTGATGATTTAAATTTTATTTTAAATTTTTAAATGATTCATTCTTTAAAAACTTTATTATCCTTTTCATTATCCTTTTTTCTCAAATCATAAACATTATCTTCATATACAACAGTGTTGTTTTTATATTTCTCAATCACTGTATTATTTTTTTCTATCATTTTAACTAAATCATTTAAAGAGGTAGTTGGCTTATTTTTTCTAATAAGCATGTTTTTTTCAAGATAATTATTATTTATATACATAACTTTTATTTTATCTACAGGTTTGTTAACTTCTTCTTTATTCATTTGCAACATTCTAAATTTATTTCTATGTTTATTTTCTAATAAAGAAACTAAATAAAAATATTCTATTAAAGAAACTAAATCTTCTCTGTCTTCAAAATCAAGTTTACCAATTTTATAATCCTGAACATACTTTTTAATTAAACCCAGACTTTTTCTATCATTTATATTAATCATTAAT